AAGGAAAGGAAAGGAAAGGAAAGGAAAGGAAAGGAAAGGAAAGGAAAGGAAAGGAATTGTGTGTCAACAATGTATAACCATGCCTCTTTGTTTGTAGTTTATTACAAATGTTAGATGCTGTAAACAGACAACGAAAGATAATTGCCATCATATCTGTTTGTGTGGTTCCACAGGGCAAGTGGAACTGATGCTAGATTACATGGATCCTTCAACTGACTCAAACAATCCCACTTCTTTTAATTGCACTGGATGACATCTTCAATTTTAAAAATGAAACGAAATTTCAGCCTTGCCTAAACCTTCATATGCATTCCAACTAAGCTTATGTTGGGTCCTAATAATAGCCTATAAATCAGCTTTAAGAAGCAAGAATGGTATATTTCCTTCTGATACTGTATGCCTGAATTCAGTTCCCCCAAGTTCCTTATTACAACCAGGGGAGCTCTAACTATGGATAAACTAACCAGAATTCAAGATGCTTGTGGCTTCATTTATCTAACAAAGACATCCAGGGGAAATCAAAATGTTTGATTTAAGATGTCTTTCCATACTACCAGCAAATTGCATTGTAATGTACTCTATATGGTGGTCCTTAAAGACTACCTGGAAGCTGAAGCTGGTCCAGAAAGTAGCAGTTCTGAATGCTTCACCGTTCACCTGAGTTACACTAGTTCAGATAAGGTGGGCCTGCTTTTGTCCTTTATGGTGTCATTTAACAGGGCCTCAGAAGTGCTTATTCTTGGTAGCATCCCAGGCCTTTGGAATAGTGTCCTGTGTTTAGTAATATTTGTACACCACCAGGCTCAAATGATTAGGGTAGTTGCCAAAATTGTGAAAACAAAACCAGCAAATGCAATGCACAGTCTCCAGTAGTTGTGATTTTTATTTGGGAACATTTCTCTGGATTACGGTGATGCTGCATCTCTCAGCAAGCCAAAAAAGACTTGTTAATAAGTAGTTGTTCCATGGCTGGCCTAGAAACCAGGAGATTGAGTGAGTTCTAGCACTTCCTTTTAGCATGGAAGCCAACTGGGTGACTTTGGGCCAGTTCCTCTCTCTCATCCCTGCTCAGTTCCCAAGGTGGGTTTTTTTTTTTTTTTGGTACTGACAATAGGAGGCAGGTTTGTCTATCTATCTATCTATCTATCTATCTATCTATCTATCTATCTATCT